TTCGTGCATAGTCGATGTTCATTCACTTTGACCTTCTCACCTGTCTACTGCTCTCCCCTATATATAGCATGCTTCACATTCTGAACACTTTATCCTATAGACACAATTACTTTGTGACATTTTGGGAACCATATCACCAAAGGTTTCTCCAGAGAATTAGAAGGCTTGACATAGACTTTAATATTATATGAAGTAAATAGTCTTTGAAGTTGTTCAGCTGTGTGTGGCCTTTCGATATGGAATGGCTGTCATCTGTTGGTAGCCAAGATTTTTCAATTTTTTCCTGTTTTCCCTTATGCTCCTTTTTATTGATTGGTAATATTATCTAGCAGCTTTCCGGATACCCATTTCCAATCAAAATCTGTTTTATATTGGATATCTCGTTCTCCGTATCACCGTCATTATCTGTGATAATGTTTCTAGTTCTGTTATGACGACATCTCAAGCTACTGAAACTTTCATTCCTATTGGATGGATGATGTGATTGGAAATTGAAAATACTTGTTGGAATGTGTCAGCTTTCTGTATACTCGTAAACTTTAGTTTTTTGGAAGAGGATTTCATTCAACACACATAAGGAAAGGTTGACATCTCTGAAGCCTTGCACATTTCAACCACATCGAATGCAGTAAAAATAGGAAGGAGAGAAGGGATAGACTTATCATCACCTATATGGCAAACTCTAATGAAGCAAGATAGACGAGAAAACAGGAAAAACCTCTACGAACCTCCATGACCTTTACAGAAATGCATTATCATGTTTATCACATGTGAATTGACGTCCCGTTTCATATGACAAATAACATACACTCACACACTCATAAAAAACTAGTCCTTACAAACCAACTATAGAAAACATATACACAATAACAATTTGACATTATTTTTCAAGTATTGATTTTTTGCAAGGATTTTGTTTGATCGCATGAAGGATTTCATCATAATGACCTGACATCAGTTAGAGAACCACTGGAAAACCAACCTGGGAGTACTGGACAGCTGTTTCCTCTGTCCTAGTTTGGGACTCTTCAATGGGTTGAAGATGAGGCAGTAACCCACTCATCGAAGAAGACATTGCGAAATGGTCGCACTATGTCGTGAATTGGCAGAAGTTAGAATTCAATGACCATTGAATCGGGTCCCAGTGGCTCAATGGTCTACAAGCTTGCCTTGTAACTGGAAGGTCCTGGGTCGGAACTCCGGTGGGTACGCGCTGCTGAAGAGTCCCAGACTACGACGGAGGAAACAGTTGTCCAGTACTCCCTGTGGCTGGTTTTCCAGTGGTTATCTAACTGATGTCAGCTCATCATGTAATCTTCCATGCAATTTGACATTAGTCATAACACAGATATATGATTGATGACTGCTTACATATTTCTATGTGGTACAAATGTCTATCGACGAGAGACCTTCAAATAAACCGACTTACTTCAATTTATGTTAAAAATGTTTTGACTACATTTTGATTAAATAATAAAATTTCGAATAAATCTGCTGCTGAATGGAGAAGCTGACTGTGGCAGCTTACACAGCGAAATATTCAGAAAACAGATCTTATGTTTTGATTTTCTGCTTTTCTTAAACACTCGCTAGGACTTCTATTATTTTAAAATTATTTATAATTTTTATTTATTTATTTATTGTTTTTGATTACAGCTTGATTCCACACCGTTTTTTTGGTGCAGGTATGGAATTTTCAGCATGTGTGATATCTATCGGTAGCCGAAATTTTGCAGGCCGACCATAGATATCAGGTGTGCGTCGTCGGCTGGGGATCGAATCCCGGACCATGTGCGCGTATGGTCGGCGAGAGTCCTAACCACTGTGCTACTACCGACGCAGGGGTTTAGAAACACAGGACCTCTGGGTTACACAAGACGAGCTCACAGACAGACTATTCAGTCACTGGGTGTGTGTGGGGGTGGAGAGACAGTCCATCAATATGTGATTTTTTAATGACAACCATCAGTCAATAATGATCGCTGGTAAATGGCTACAGGACAAAGTTGTCGGCCGTTTTTAGGGGGAAATCGTGACCAGTGGGGCTCGCCAGAGGTGGTCGTGTGTGTGAGACCAAATAAATACTCGCCGATCACAATGGCTGGTGAAAGGGATAAAATCAAGAACTGGAAGGGTGGGGGGTGGAATCCATGGGCGATTGAATCCAGTTCCAATAGCTGTATGGCTGTCTGTCTGGATTCAACATAGAACTTGCCACCGAAGTGTAGCAGTTCGAGTTGTCAAGTTCCAAATACCACACAAAGGTAGACAAGAAGATGGATGAGTGAAGAGAATCATAATAGAGTTTTCACAAGTATAAGAGTGAAGCAGAATGAGTAATGGTAGAAAGGAATATGAAAGATTACACAAGAGACTGAATACATCTGCGTGAGCCATTGACAACGATTTTGAGCCATGTCACCTATTGCCTGTCTCCAGCCATTGATTCTCAGAGGCCCGAGGGAGGGCCCTAACCCGGAAGTCTGCATCTCCCTACCTGACTCAGTTGAACTGTCAGGGATTTCATGGATTGATGAGGCCATGTTTTTGTTTGGCATGGCACCACTTACTCTTTTCCAATCTGCACCTATATCAGCTAGTAATGCCCATCGGGAGGGGGAGGCGATGGTTAGGCATGCGCAGCACGTCACCTAGCCATCTCAATCCATGTAACTTTATAGCCTCTTCGATTGATTTTCCCTCTTTGCCCAACACTCTACTCCTAACCTAACGTCAATATTACTTACCTTATGATACCACCACCTAACGTGAGAAAGAGATCGTAGACATCTATGATCAAAAACAGACAACCTTTTCATGTCTTCAACTCGTATTGGCCATGTTTCAGAGCCAGCCATAGAGAAGGACGGAGCGAACTGCTGAGCAGTACACAGGTCCCTTGGTTGGTTCATAGCCGGATGTCACGCCTACGCCAGAGATGGTGTAAGTTACCGAAAGCAGCCCGAGCTTTTTGGATCCGCGCTGAGATTTCGTCACCAATCAATCCGTTGGTGCTGATACAACTTCCCAAATAGGTGAAGTGGTCAACGTGTTCTATCATTTCACTCCCTATCACTAAGCTAGCTGTATGGTCTTTGAACTCGCCTTGTAAAAACTGGAAGGTCGAAGGTCGAGGGTTCAAATCCCGGTGTAAGTAAGTACTGATAAAGAGCGTCGATCTAGGGCAAAACAAATATTTCCAGCATTTCTTTGATTTTCAACGGTTCTCTAAGTGACATCAATCCGTGATCTCAAATATGAGAGACAAATCCAACTCCTAGGAAGTTACTCAGTTACTCAATGACTTCATGCAATTCTCTTCCCATTAATAAACTTGAACAAAGCAAGAACAACAACAATTGTACCAGAGGATAATATGAGCTCATCTTTTAATATTATTATTTCGAGGATTCTTCTCAACTGGTTACAACCTGAACGATAAAAATATGTATGAATTACATTACATTCAAGATTTGAACAATCTTTTCCATGATCGCAAGGAGTAATTGGTTGGTAGGAAGTGTAAAAGTAACATTAGTCCGGAATGATTGAACTAATTAAGAGTTACAGAAACACTGACTATTTATAGAATAATTAGGCATTTAGGCTTGGAAACAAAAACAGAGTTGCATATATATATGTGTGTGTATAGAAACAAGGTTTAGCTAGACAGAGCATAACAAAAAGGTAGATTACGTAACTAAAGAAAATGCTTTATCTAATAGCCAACAGAAAAAAAAGGAAGGGTGAGTCATGTTTAGATGAGAGAGAGTAGAGTTTTCTAAACAAGAAAAAGGGTGACTCATAAAAGTTGTTTATTTTTTTCGTCACCAGGGTAGTGCGAGATTCACCACTGTCTCTTTCTGCGGTACACATAGATTTCGTTTAAGTCGTTTGTGATAGCAATTGCTTCAGCAAAGCGTATAGCAAGTTAGGTTTCTTTTGCTTGTTGATTATTTTGAATGAATTCAAGTTGTCTACATTATGACCAGTGTGTCCAATAGATGACGCGCAATTGCACTGTTTAATACTTGTGGACCTTTCAGTCTCAGGTTCTTTTTGGTATGTGTTCAGAAATGCGGACAATAATAATATATGTGTAAAACTTGGGCACTGTGGTAGTAAGTAATTCCATTGGGGATATTGGTGATCCCATGGCAACTCCTTCAGTTTGTTTGTATATTTTCCCTTGAAATTTAAATACTGTGGAAGTCAGGCATAGCTGTACTCCCAGCATTATGTCCTCAAGTGACACTTTTGTCCTAATTTCGAGTTCTTGACCAGAAATGAGTTCGTTTCTGACTGCCTCTATAATACCATATTTATTATCGGTATACGTGTATATAAACTGACAATGTCAAAACTAACCATTTTCTCTTCATTATCTAATTTTAAATTATCTAATCCATCTATGTTTTAGTTCATAAGAATTAGTTAGTCTAGATTTCGAGTAGATTTTTAGGGGATTTAATACCATGGCTAAATATTTAGATAATTCATAAGTAGGTGAATTTCTAAAATCAACTATAGATGTGTCTAATAGGGTATCCTGATTTATGAACTTTAACAACACCATACATCCTACTGGGGTTGTTAGTTTTGGGCATTAAATTAAACCATTTAGACTCACCTAGAAACGGCTTCATTCGGCGTATAAGGTCCGCTGTGGATTTCTTAACTTTATTCATAACTGTATCTATTGGTTTATTAATTTCCACATATGTTCCTGTTTGTATATGAGTATTTACCTTGTCCAAATAGTCTGATTTATCTAATACAATAACCCTTCTCTCTGTTCTTCCGAAGTATGTGCTTTGGTACGTACAACATGTAAATTGGTAGACACAATTTGATTGCGGCGGTCAAGTTATTATTTGCAGGAAGTATTCGTAACCCCCCCCCCACTACGGTCTAGAAACTTATAATTTTTTCTTGCATTTAATAATTTTTTATAAATTGTGATTTATAACACCACTTTGTGTCTTTATCTTTGTCTTTAGCAGAAAAAACAACAACAACAACCATGAACTTGCTATTGAGAAGAAGAGTTCCGTCATCATCATTATCATCATCATTGTACTTACGAAATTGTTGTTTTCTATGTCATGAAGTCTGTTCGTCATCGAGAAATCCCTTCTCGACTTCTCCTCGATTTTATTCTGGTGGTCCTGTTCTAACTAACTCCAGACAACAAACTGATCATCATCATAAACAAAAGCAACAGCAACAGCAGACAGTTTTTCATTCACAAGCATTTTTTAATCGAAATTTTTTATCTTCGCATCGTTTTAAAAGTTCTCAAAGAAGTTCTGGAGGCTCGTCGTCAAGTTTCTTCAATGATAACTTGTTTGCAACACTGTCTGTTGGTTTACTACTTGTCGGTTGTTATGCCTTTAAATGGTATATAAACTTGGAACCTGATTTTAGTCTACCGAAGAAGAAGAAGCAGGAAAATTTAGAACACTCACGGTTAGTTTATTGTGCTTTTTTGAGAATTTTAACTGCATGTTTTTTAAAAAAAAATTTTATTTTCAAGTATTGGTTTTTGTAGGGATTTTTTAGTTTGATAATTGGATGGAGGATTTCAGGCCAAGTTAGTTAAACTTTAAGCACCACTAACTACTGCCAATTGAGTGCGACCGCACCAACATGTTGACCACTTCACCTATTTGGGAAGTTGTATCAGCACCAACGGATTGATTGGTGACGAAATCTCACCACAGATCCAAAAAGCTCTGGCTGTTTTCGCTAACTTACACCGTCTCTGGCGTATGCGTGACATCCGGCTATCAACCAAGGGACGTGTGTACTGCTCAGCAGTTCTCTCCGTCCTTCTCTGTGGCTCTCTGAAACATGGCCAATACGAGTTGAAGACATGAGAAGGTTGACTGTTTTTGATCATAGATGTTTACGATCTCTTTCTCACGTTCGGTGGCATAATAAGGTAAGTAATGTCGATGTTAGGTTAGGCGTAGAGTGTTGGACAAAGAGGGAAAATCAATCGACGAGGCTATAAAGTTACTTACATAGATTGAAATGGCTAGGTCATGTGCTGCACATGCCTAACCATGGCCTCCCCCTCCCGACGGGCATTACTAGCTGATATAGGTGCAGGTTGGAAAAGAGTAAGTGGTGCCATGCCAAACAGAAACATGGCCTCATCAATCCATGAAATCCTTGATAATTAAACTGAGTCAAGTAGGGAGAGAGATACAGACTTCCGGGTTGGGGCCCGCCCTCGGGACTCTAAGAATCAATGGCTGGAGACAGACAATAGGTGACATATATGGCTCAAAATCGTTGTCAATGGCTTACGCAGATGTATTCAGTCTCTTGTGTAATCTTTCATATTCCTTTCTACCATTCCTCATTCTTTTTCACTCCTATACTTGTCAAAACTCTACTGATTGATTCTCTTCACTCATCCATCTTCTTGTCTACCTTTGTGTGTTGTTTGGGACGTGGCAACTCGAACTACTGCACTTCGGTGCCAAATTCCATGTTGAATCCAGCCAGCCAGCCAGTTTAGGAAAGATTAAGTTGCTCTTTGAGGCAAGGACAAGTGTTAGGGTTAGGTTAATCTAATAAAGGCAATGTTAGGTTTGGTTCGAGTTAGATTACAGTTAGTTTAGGGATATTTTCACGTTAGGGTTAGGTTCAGCAAAGATTAGGGTTATTTTTAGGGTTAGAAGACGTAAATAATAATCACATGCATAGAATGTGATTAAATTTCTCTGTTGATATAAGAATAGAACTTGCGCACTGTGGTTGTGGTAAAGTATAATTCCATTGTGAGTAAAAATTTATTTTGATAATGTCTCATGGTGTCATGCAGTCATATTTACTGATGACGACGTTTTGAGCACCATTTATTGCTCAGTAAAAAATATTACTGCGTAACACTATAAGGATTTATCAAAATAAATTTTACCCACAATGGAATTACACTACTCTGTTGACACTCCAACCTAAAACTGAGAGCTATTTTTTTATCACATGTAAGAGAAAGGTATCCTCTGTAACACTTTTATACAGTTTTTATGCATTTTTTCATAAATATATATATGTATTCCATACATAAGAATGCCTCTTTCACGTGATTGGTGCGTTCGAGGTCACTTTCTCTGATTGGCAGTTGGTGAGTGGTGCTTAAAGTTTAACTCTGCCGGATTTCATGATGATGACCTGACATCGGTTGGAGAAGCACTGGAAAACCAACTAGGGAGTACTGGACAGCTGTTTCCTCCATCCTAGTTTGGGACTCTTCATCAGTATGCACACACACCGCCAGAGTTGGAACACAGAACCTTCTGTTTACAAGGCGAGCTAGCTCGTAGAACATTGAGCAGCCACTGGGACCCGATCCAGTGTCCAGCCAGTCCATGAATTCTAAGTTCTGCCAATTCACGCACAACATAGCGTGACCATTTCGCAATGTCTTCTTCGATGAGTGAGTTACTGCCTCATCTTCAACATGCTATACCCTAATGGTCAAGGCTTCCCACTAGAACTTCAGGTTAACTGCCTGAATAGGACCAGTCACTAGTGAGTATCAGATTAATTTTTTCAAGTATTGGTTTTGTAGGGATTTTTGAGTGATTGCATGGAGGATTTTATCATCTTCTGGTTACAGAAGGATGTGGGTTCGAACCCTGGTGGTGGGGGGTGAGTACTGATGAAGCGGAGTCTCAAACTAGGCTGACGAAACAGCTGGTTGTCCAGTACTCTCAGGTTTTGCAATGGTTCTCTAACCAACTGATGTCTGCTCATGATGAAATCCTGTAACCAATAATTGGTATGATTTACGATTTATATATAGGTACATAGACAGTGCGTCGGTGGCATAGCGGTTAGGACGCTCGCCTACCATGCATATAGTCCGAGGTTCGATCCCCGGCCACCGACGCACTCCTTTACCTCGCTAAGCCAGAACTAAAGCTGGTGAAGAGGAAAGGTTGGGCATGAGGCTATCAACCTCATCCTGTAAAAATTGAACATTGCTACAGAAACTTCAAGCCACTAGCTTGAATCCCTATGTTCCACTGGGAACGTGAAGGAATAAAAAAAGCATGGACAGAATAGAGAGCCACATTTAACACGGAAATATCCACTGATCATTTTGTTGTTGTCGCCCTTGTCTTTTGTTTATCAAGACCTTCACTTAAAGAAGAATATCCGGTGTCAGACGATGCGTTGTCAGAAAAATCAGAAAAGCATCCTACTGTTGAATCAAATAAAATTGCTACTCCGCCAGTTGTTAATGCGACAACTACAATACAGATTCAGTGGTTGTTCATTCAAATGTTATTGCAGAAGAAGGAGAAAAAGACAGTTGTCGAAAACTAATGAGGATAATAAAGTCGATGTAGAAAAAGTTGCTATGGATACGGAATTTCATGATGAAGGTAAGTAAGCAAATATTGTCATACCATCCATCAAGGCTGGAGGGGGGGGCGCGTTATTCGTTTCCCCCCCCCTCGGGATACTTTTAATGTACTAATTTATATTTGGTGTTGTTGTAAAAGAATTACTATTACATTATTTCTGTTGTTTAACCAAGTTGGCTTGATGTTAGCGTGTACTCGTCGTGGTGGTGGTGACAAGATTAATTTTTGATCCTGAATTTTGCTATGCTTATAAGGAGTCATTTTAGCCATGATGACATAATATCTTGAAGATCAACAGCTTTAATATAACTCCATTATGGATAAGATTTTCTGTTTTGATAAACTGTCACCTACACAGTGTGTGTAGTGTTATACAGTAAGTAATATTAACTGATGCGACCACACGCTTCGAGCACAATTTATTATTGCCACTCATAATCATATCAAAAAAGACCTAAATGATGAAATAAAACAGATAGAAGAAGAGCGTTGGTATCAAATAACTAACTATCCTATAAAATTCATTAGGAAGATCAGAAAACGCCAAAAGCAAATTAAAAAAATAATTGTGAAACTAGTAATGATAACATAAATAAGAGAGAATATAAGTCATCCATTGTTGTACCATATAAGGAGGGAGGGGACATCTGAGACCAGCCCTACGTAGGATTCTTAATAACAAAGCAGGAATTAGGCTGGTGGTGGCATTCAAACCTACAAACTCACTCACTCAGGTAGGACAAGCTCTGTAGGTAGGTTAAAGGACCCTGTCGGTTGACCCAATTAGACAAAATAATATAATTTACAAAATACCCTGCAATGACTGTCACTTAGGTCAACTACATAGGTCAAACTAGTAGATCAGGGGTAATCAGATTGTCGGAACATAAGAATTTAGCTAAGGCAAGAATGGTTGACCCCACCCGAGAAGATAAGTAATTTAGAAAAACCAACTCAGCACTACATTGCACTGCATGCATTAACACACAACCACACAATAGCATGGTGGGAGAGGGTTAAAATTCTAAGAAGTAATCTATGTAGGTGGAGAGAGAGAGAGGTTGATTACTGAATCCTGCCTGGTTCATCGAGTCTACCTACACCCAACACATGCAACAGAAATGACTCAATGCAAATACCAGAGATATGTATGGAAGATATTATTACCACCAGTCAGTCAGTCAAATCAGAGGAGGATAATAAATAATCTTAAATTGTATTCTATTTCAATTCAATTCACGTACATCATCACAACATTCTAACAAGTTACTCACTTATTATGACTATAGGAGAAACACTCGTCTTATTTCCCATCTGATTGTAATTGATCAATAAAACTCATATTATTATTATTGTTGTTTCTGAATGTACATTATCCCATATTACTGATTTGTATTCAAATGTCTAATCATCATCAATTCCACTCATGTATATAAATGAAGGAAGACGAAAGTTGTGTGAGTGAGTGAGTGACTTGATATGATGATTATGAGTGGCAATAATAAATTGTGCTCGAAGTGTGTGGTCGCATCAGTTAATATTACTTACTGTATAACACTACACACACTGTGTGTGACAGTTTATCAAAATAGAAAATCTTATCCATAATGGAGTAGTTATACTCTACCATACCACAGAGTGCCCAAGTTTTATACTGATGGCTTTCTTATATATACACTAACCTTGTTAATCACCCCATTTAGCTAAATTAGAAGAAGAAGGATTAAATTAAGATATATTGAAATCATTCCCAAAATGAAGTGGTGTATGTTTTTTTATTTTGTCATAATATTTGGGATTACATCCGCAAAGATGATACATACGCTGACAAATTTCCAATTATAACATACACTTATGCTTCCGTTCCAAAATAATCGACATCGGCGCTCAACAATTAAATCATGCAAACCTAATTAGAAAATCAAAACAAGTGGTGATCCAATCAGTGAAGAGACTCTTTTCAACGATGAATTTATCATCAAGCTGTACAATCGTATATAAACATTGTTTTTTCTTAGTTTTGGGACGAAACAGCTGTCCAGTACTCCCAGTCGGTTTTCCAATGGTTCTCTAACCAATGTCAGCTCATGATGAAATCCGATAAACTTTTCCGTTGTAATTTTTCATCATACGCTTTTGTAGAACATTGCCATTTCAATTGATATCCAACCATGTACTAACTGATATTTTTCTATTTATATATTCTGTTCACTTGTAGTTCCTGAGGCGCTTGTCTATGTTAAGCCAGAAGACAAAGCATTTCCTACACACGTGCCGTACATTATTGTTGGCGCTGGAGCCGCAGGAATGTCAGCGGCTCGTTCAATTCGCGCTTCAGATCCCACGTCGAGAGTTTTATTGATTGCTGGCGGTGCTAGTGGATCAGGCAGAACATCTGAGCCGGGGATTGAAGAAACCTCTTATGTCGAGCCACCTCCATATTTAAGACCACCGCTGAGTAAAGAGCTGTGGAATCGAACATCGAGCAAAGAAAAAAAGCTGTTACGAAGTGATGGAGATATACGTCGACACTCTTGGCTCTATTATGAACCGGATAGTTTCTTTTTAAAACCAGAAGAGTAAGTGATTTTTGAACTTTCTTCTTCCCCCCCCCAACGGATTTTTTGTGACAGTAAAATGTATATATAATTTAAAACAATTAGTTCCCTTTATGAATTTAGATAAAGCAATAAGAAGACGTAATTTGTCTGAATCGTGTAATGTATTTGCGCAACACATTTCGAACAATCTGATCACACACGGACTTGTCATAGGAATATATATGAAATTAATAAAGAGGTAAGAGGTGAGAAAAATAGACTTAGGTCAAGTTTAAAGGACATATTCAAGGTCAAAGTAACAATGAAGACCACTAAACCAAATAACAGAGGTAATAGTACATCTGCTATGGTGTCAAAACAAAATTTACCAAGGAAGGTTTTATGTGATGACAAATTGTTTTTGAACGCATAAAGGAGGCTTAAACTTCCTAACTGACAGGGCTTCCACAAACTTTAGGATACGCCCCAAACACGTTTTATAGATAGGTTTAAAAGATCTGTTAACGTCAATTTTATGTCCTGTTTCTATAATATGTTTTGCAATAGAGGAGCTAGGTCTCCTGTTCTCACCATTAATGGGTTCTGAAGATTCCATTTGTTTCTGGAACCATTTAGGAATATGCTCTGAAGCCCTTACTTGCAGAGATCGATGAGTCCTCCCTACGTATGTGTGTCCACACGTACATTCAAATTGGTAAATACAGTGGGATGTGACGTCATTTTTCTCATGAGAAAAAATGACGTCATGTCTATTGGCTTCTTGTCCAGATGCTTCGACGACCGTGTTTGGGCATTTATTTAGAATTTAATTGGTGGATGGTGGTGACTAGCAGTGGAATCCGGTCCAGGATAACGCGTATTTTATCCTATTTGGGACTCCGTCAGTACGAAAATCTGACGTTCAATTAACTTATTTTATGACCCGTCGCACAAGAGACTGTGGCTATCGTGGCCCAAGTGGTCTAGTGGATAACGCTTTGGCTGCTGGTGTTTGAAGCTATGGGCACTGGGTTCGAGACTCGGTGCGGGGAACATCATCACTGACTCACTGGGGAATGCAGGTACATCCTCCAGTCAACTGACGAGTCCCAAATAGGACCGGTGAAATGCGCGTTATCCTGGACTGGATTCCACTGCTAGTCACCATCCACCAATTAAATAGTAAAATGTAGTTTAGAATAATTATATGAGATTATATTATTGTTATTATTATTAGTGTTCCCTTGGGTTCCTAGTGGAATATAGGGCTTCAACTGCACGTCTCCACTTGCTTCTGTCTTCTGCTGTACTTTTCACCTACATCCATGTAAGTCCATACTGTTTCAGCTCCTCTTCACACGATCCCCTCCATGTCACCCTTGGACGTCCCACTACTCGACGCTTCCCTTTCGGATTCCACTCGAGCGATGGCCTGACGCGCGATGTCACTAGCAGCGGCCTCCTCAGTGAGTGTCCAATCCATCTCCACTTCCTCCTGCATATTTGTTGAGCGATTGGTTCTTGTTTTGTTTGTTCCTATAGTTTCTTGTTGGTTCTTGTTCTTTCTGGTCATCTGATCTGCAGTATGATGCCAGTGAAGACAGTTGTTGTTGATCAAGATCTGCAACAGGCTGTTGGAAATATTCTTTGTGACCCGCCACCAAGTTTCTGATCCGTATAGATGAACTGACTGACTTGACGTTTGTATTGAAAATTCGAATTTTGTTGTTGATACTGAGTGTTAAAAAAATATACTTCCTTAGTTAGTTCAAAAAGTATTGTACTATTAACCGAAGAGGATGTGTATGATACTTTTTTGACCTCAACTCTAATTTGTCATCTTGCAGTATATACACATGAAAGACTAACAACACTATCAAAACAGGAATTGTGTGTTCTTCAGGAAATGAATAACATCTTATCTAATTAACACAAGCTGTTTTTAACTAACTAACTAACTAAATTTCAACATAGGACTTAGCATAGAAGTGCGGCAGTTCGATTCGCTACACTCCATATAATACACAAAGCAAGAGAAGAGATTAAAGGGAGGCTCTAAAGACTTCATTGACTTTGAAAAGGCATTCGACAGCGTCGATCGAGAGGTGATTTGGCAACTACTTCGCTACTACCGGGTGCCGTCGACAATTATGCATCTCATCCAACAGCTGTACGACAATGCTGCATGTCAAGTAATCCACAACGGGAAACTTACGGAATCCTTCGAAGAAGTGAGGACAGGAGTAAGACAAGCTGGCTGGCTGTCTACTATCGCCAATGATTTTCCTGATTGCAGTAGACTGGATAATGCGACAGACAGCGAGCTGGGCCACGAGAAAACAGGCATAAAATGGACCCACATAAACACCACTTGGAGGATCTGGACTTCGCCGATGTCATATATATGTCTGATTTCCCACAAACTGGAAGATATGCAAGCGAAAAGCAACAAGTTGGCAGAAGAACCATCCAGAGAAGATAGGACTTCAGGTGAACATAGAGAAAACAGAGGTGATGAGGATTCCTCGTCAACACCAACAGCAACAGCAACAACAAAAACAGACAACAAATAGGCAGCATAAATGGGAGGAACCTGAAAGAAACAACCTCCTTTACCTACCCACCGACCTAGGAAGCATCCTTTTAAGTACAGGCGGAAGGAACTGACAAGGCTATCAAAGCAAGAATCGGGAAAGCAAGACAAGCTTTCACTACTCTCAAGTCTGCTCAACATGAAAAATAAGATCCGGACTTTGAACTCCAATGTGAAGTCAGTGCTACTTGCTATACGGATCAGAGACTTGGCCAGCACGTCATTAAAAGAGCACCTCGAACAAACTACAGATGTTCATCAACAGCTGTCTTCGCTCTAAAATCCGCTCAAGATCAGATGGCCGGCCAGAAAAGATCAGCAACAGGGATCTCTGGCAATGAGCGAACCAACACAGCAGGAACCGATTGTGAAACAAATAGGCAGGAAGAAATGGAGATGGATTGGCTGGCCATACTCTGAGGAAACAAACCATCAAGTGACATCACTAGACAAGCCACTCCTCGGGTGGAATTCGACGGAATGGGAAGCAGCGAGTTGGTCGTCAGTGCAAAGGTGACTTGGAGGAGGTCATGTGAAGAGGAGATGATGAAAGCATGTGGGCAGACTTGGAGCCAGGTGAAGACTTTAGCAGAGACGCACGGCTGGCACCCTGTGTTCCTCTAGGAATTAAAGGAAACAATAATAATAATAATCAAAAGACAGAGATAATAAACAGAAGTGTGAGGGAAAAAGAATAGTTATATGGAAGAACTATATGGCTTTATTGGATAGTATAAGTCACAAGGAGTGGATGCACCTGCCCCAGCCACCCATTGAGAACGATGAGTTTGAGCCATATCATCAATTGTCTCCAGCCCCGTCATTGGTTCTTACCATCACGAGGACCCCAGCCTCTTCAACGTGGATCAAACCGACAGTCAGACTTAATGGATTAATGTCATGTTTTAGTGTTTGACCACTTCTAATCCTTTACAGCAGCGTTGACCACGAAGTAATTTGGAAACTACTCGAGTACTACGGCGGCGTACCCGAAATATTCATCAACCTTATTCGACAGCTGTACGACAACGGCACATGTCAAGTGATGCACAACGGAAAACTCAGCGAGGCGTTTTGAGTAAACACAGGAGTCAGACAAGGGTGCTTATTATCACAAATGGTATCCCTAATTGTGGAGGACTGGATTATGCGTCGTCAGACAGTGGGAAACGAGAAGACAGGGATATCATGGACCGACGTGAATAATCTAGAAGACCTGGATTTCGCGTGTGGATGATTTATGTTTGATGTCACACAAAATCGAAGACTTACAAGTGAAAACCGACAAACTGGTCGAAGAAGCAGCCAGAGAAGACAGGACTCCAGGTGAACATAGACAAGACGGAGGTTATGAAAATAACCAATCAACCAACAACAACAACAACAGCAGCAATATCCAGCGCCAATCACCATCAACGGGAGAGATTTGAAAGAGGTTACTTCATTCACTTATATAGCTAGGGAGCATTGTCTCAACTACAGGAGGAGGGACGGACGAGGATGTCAAATCGAGAATCTGGAAGGCGAGAAACACATTCATCGACCTGAAACCAATCTGGAAATCTTCGTCACTCAGCATCAACAACAAAATTCGGATTTTCAATACAAACGTCAAGTCAGTCAGTTCATCTATACGGCTCAGAAACTTGACGGGTCACAAAGAATATTTCCAACGGCCTGTTGCAGACCTGTGTCGAAGATTGGAAATTGGTCTTTTCCAGATTGTTGAAGCACTCACTTGGTGGTGGTGTTAAGGAAAACAAGTTTTGCAGCATAATAAGTTCGCCTGATAGCTTTATCGAGTCTTCGTTTGACTACTTCCTGTACATCATCTCCTTTGAACGGCAAGCTCACATGGACAGATTTCTTCTGAACTGTTTGGATAGTTTTGCAGGGGCCAATTTCTTTAGAGTATTTATTAATGAACTTCTCAGGATATCTATTCTAAGGTAAAAAATATTCTTCAGAGATTTTATTTCATGCTCAGCTGTTCTGTCAGATCAAATTTTTCGTGCTCTATTGTGAACAGTGTTCTGACTAAGTTTCTTTGTATACTGGATTGAAACAAAGCTCATGTACTGTACTGTCTATGAAGACTTTCTAAATATAATAGATCTTTTGATTGTGCCATCACTCATTTTCGCTAGAAAAACGTCTTAGAATTTAACAGTATCGTTTTCCTCGTGTTCTATTGTGAAATTGAGATTCGGGTGGCTGGCATGAGTTGAATTTTATCAACCGAAATTTGATGAATCTATCATTAAATCATCCTGCTTTATTAACTGGCTTTATTGCTTGTTTTAAATTGGTATCGGTATATAAATGTTTTCAATTCATATCTATCTCTAATACTACTTATCCGATATGAGTAGGTTTCGTTCATGTCCGCTTTCTAGATCTCTCTGGTTTTGATGTAATGTCGATTGTGTAAATTTCTCATATCCTAACGATTTTCTAAGAAAATGTTCTGTCTAACCTACTACTGCATTAAGAAACTTAGACAATCTGGAATCACCCAACCCCTACTTTCACAATTGGTCAACTCTTGTATCTTACCTATTCTACTTTACTGCTCCCCGTTAATCTTTCCTGGGCTACTGAAAAAGGACTATACCACCCTGAGAAGGATGTTAAAGGTAGTTAGTAGGACTAGTGGTGTAAAACTCAGTCAGCTCGTCACTACATTAGTTGATAGGCATCTGAATTACACGCGAAAAATGGTCTAAAACCATACTCTCCGACCCCCAACACCCCCTCTATTCCCAACTCTCGCCTTGTATCTCATCAAATAGAACCAGAAATCAGTATAAAATAATCTATGCTCGTACAACCAAGTACAGAAACTCAACGATATCATACTTGGCCCGTGTTCTAAGCGACAGAGACAATGTTAAGCGTGAAACCTATGACTTGCTTTGTTATTAACAACATAATTTTAGGCTCTTTTATTTCTCTCTTATTTTGTATTCTATAGTGAACTCCTTCTTCAAACATACTTAGCTACCTAAAATATTAACATTGGCTTCCTTTTTTGTACTTTACTATATTCCTTCTTTTGTGTATCCACTGGTTTCGACTCTATTAGCACAATGAGTAGTACAAAATTGTCCTGTCATTAACCATCATGTAATTATTAGTTTTTGTGGTTGTTTTTTTCTTACTTTCTATACTTTTCGGCAATATTAACTGACAATTCATTGGTTGTGAACGCCATAGTCACCACCTTAAAAAATTTTGTATTATTCAGGATTATTCACACTACCACCACAAACACTGCATTAGACCTTGGTAGACTTTGGTACATTTTCGCATTTATAATTATTTTGTGTTTATCCTGTTTTTTTGCCGTTGATGTCTTCAGATTTATTTTTTTGTTTGTTTAATACTTATTTTAAATGTCGGTAAAATTAGATGGAAATATTGTAGATATGTGCTGAAAATTCCACACTGTACCACTAGTACTGTTTCTGGAATAAAGCAAATTATTATCATTACTAAAAAAAAGTTCAACCGTGTTTCAATCATTCTATGCAATTCGTTTATTGTTTTTTTGGTTTGTCTTTTTGCGTTAACAGTTTAGGCGCTGTACAATATGGTGGAGTGGCTCTAGTTCGAGGAGATCCAGTAGTTCGCCTGGATCCTGATAGACATATAGTCTTTTTGGCGTCTGGTCGGCAGATAACTTACGATCGATGTCTTTTAGCCACTGGTGGCACACCAAAACGTCTGAAGGAACTAGAAGTATGCAGTCGAACTGGAGTCGATTTGACGGATACTGGACATGTCTCGTATTTCCGTAATATGGCAGATTATCGGTAGGTGAAAAGGAAAATGTTTTTCTTCTTATTGATTTGTTCCCAACTTCTGCTTCAAAATCGATATTTATTCACATAAAATGGCTCCTTAATTAGCTCTCAGGATAGACGCCTTGAACGCTGGAAAGAACACTTTGAGGAACAATTTAACTTGCCTACAGCCACACTGAGCCTCCCCGCCATCCAGCACACACTTGAATGTGATATAGACACTGGCCCGCCGTCTGTAAGTGAGGTCACGAAAGCTATCTGTAATTTGAAACGAGGCAAAGCGGCAGGACCCGACGGAATTATTCCGGAGGTGTTTAAATATGGAGGTGACATACTAGTATATAGTTTAACTAAGGTACTAGGTAACGTCTGGGAATCAGAGACGGTTCCATCAGATTGGGGTAAGTCACTTATTATACCACTATTCAAGAAGGGAGACAAGTCCTCATGTGGTAATCATAGGGGAATCAGCCTGACGAACATAGTCTCCAAAATCCTAGGCTCAGTAATCATGCACAGACTAAGCCGAACTAGGGAGGAACAAACGAATGAAAATTAAGCGGGCCTTAGGCCAGGTAGAGGGTGCATAGATCATATCTTCACTCTCCGACAGATCCTAGAACATAGACACACTTTTAGGCGTCCAACAATTGCCATATTTCTTGACTTGACGGCGGCCTTCGACTCCGTGGATCGAGAGGTACTATGGCAATGTTTGACTGTGAAGGGAGTGCCAAGAAAGTACATTGCACTTATCAAGGCACTCTACTCAAACTCACGTAGCTGTGTAAGGGCTTATGGGGAATTGTCATCTGAATTGATAACAACCAGTGGTGTCCGTCAAGGATGTCCACTTTCCCCTTTTCTGTTTAACTTCATCATAGATATGCTAATGGAAGTATCCTTAACTGAACTTAACGACTTAGGAATCGACTTGTTACCATCATCATCAATTGTCTCCAGCCCGTCATTGGTTCTTACCATCACGAAGACTTCAACGTGGAAGCCAGTGTACAGCTTCCTACGTGACTGGCTGGCTGGCTTAAACTAGCTGTTGTGGATTTCATTGACTGATGAAGTAGTCATGTTTAGGTTTGACCAGCATTGGCTCTTTTCTAATCTGACCCTATATGTCAACTAACATCGCCTGTTGTCGAGGAAGGTGATGCCTAAGCAGGCATACGTAACACTTGCCATAATGATCTCGAATGATGTAACTTCACAGCCTCGTCTATTTATTTCCCCTCACACACCTACCTAGCACTCGACCGATGCCTAATCTCAATAGTGCTCATCTTATTATACCACTTCACACGGGAGATAGAACGCAGGCATCTATGATCAAAGACAGCTGTCTAGCCTTTTCATGTCTTCCACTCTCAATGACCATGTCTCATAGCCAGCACAATAAAGCAGGACTAAGCGGACTGCTGAGCAGTAGTACACACGCCTTTTGATCGAAAATCAGCCGGATATCACGTATACTAAGCCCCAGAGATGGTGTAACTTGGCATACTCCAAGTGAGCCCCTTCTGTATCCGCCGTACCCAGCTGAGATTTCATCAGCAATCAACCCGTTGCCATTGGCTGATGCAACAACTCCCCAAACAAGTGAAGTCAGTGGTCAACACGTTCCGCCAACCACTTCATTCCCTATTTCTAAGCTAGGAGTCAGTGTAGTCTAGTCCTGTAGCATCATCTTAAATTTGACGGGAGCGAGTCGTATGCCAAATATATTCAAAGATTGCTGCTGAGCTCAAGGTGTTCAAAAGACTCTGTATTTTGTTATACGGTTTTGTACTTCTTTAAATATGAGTTTCGGAAGCGTGATCAGATAAGTAGAGCGAAAATTCTGATGAGACGCACAGACATCTACTTTTTTCAAGTGTTGGTTTGTAGGGATTTGATTGATTACAGGATTTTCATCATGAGCTGACATTAGATAGAGAACCATTGGAAAACCGACTGGGAGTACTGAACAACCAGCTGTTTCGTCCTAGTTTGGGACTCTTCATCAGTACGCACCTACCGGGATTCAAACCTTTGTTGTTGAGTGAATGTATGATTGTGTTTAATTCTTATGCAATTGTCATATTTTTTGATTCTTTCTCTGCCTACTTACTGGTCAAATGCTGCGCTATTCATGTCGGAGTAAGCTGAAAAGTATACGCAATCTCATCTGGCTGAGAGATAGATGTGTATGCGTGAATAAAAATTAACAGTGTAGTGTGATAACAATAAATAACAACTACCTGCTTCTAATTTTTAGACAATCCGTAATAGTTTACATCACAGACACAAGTAACAATCTCACTTTCACAGCTTTGAATGTTATGCGACCTAACAGTCACTAAGGAGAATATAGAATAATTCTATGTGATTTGGAGACTGCCCGAATCTCAGTTGGTGAATCAACGATCATTGTCTTTTTTCATTTGGTGTGTCTCAGTAGCACACTACTTATCACTTCTGCCCTGTGACACGGCAGCAAGAAGCGCGGTCGTTGTTAATCCGGGCCCCAACCGATCCGGCATGATATTTTGTGATTTATTTGGAGTCGTAGGATTGGGTTGGGTAACTGCTTTTTGTCTAATCGCTATCCAAACAACCTTTCTGGCATGGTAGGACCTACAGGAACATAAGTTCCAGCCAGTATAGCTTGTTGGGTCATTGGGTCATAGATTGAGATGGCTAGGTGACGCGCTGCGCATGCCTAACCATCGCCTCCTCCTCTCGACGGGCATTACTAGCTGATATAGGTGCAGGTTGGAAAAGAGTAAGTGGTGCCATGCCAAACAAAAACATGGCCCCATCGATACATAAAATTCTTGACAGTTAAACTGAGTCAGTCAGGTAGGGAGGGAGATGCAGACTTCCGGGTTGGGGCCCGCCTTCGGGACTCTAAGAATCAATGAAGGCTGTAGATAATAGGTGACATGGCTCAAAATCGATGTCAATGGCTAACGCAGATGTATTCAGTCTCTGCAATCCATCATATTCCTTTCTGCCATTACTCATTCTGTTTCACTCTTATACTTGTCAAAACTCTATTGATTCTCTTCACTCATCCACCTTCTTGTCTACCTTTGTGTGCTATTTGGAACGTGGTAACTCGAACTGCTGCACTTCGTTGCCAAGTTCTATGTTGAATCCAGCCAGCCAGATCATTGTCTGTGAGTGTTTTATACTCTTTGCTCCGTCTAAGTGCACCGTACATAGTTCCAAGATTGACAGGAGCCTGTACCTGCGTTCACCTCTAACAATGTGAACCATTAAAAGTACTGATGGATGGATGAGATCTCTAACCGTATGTTGGAAACCATAGCGGTGTGCGTTGTTGGTCTGGGCCACGTCTATGTCTTCGTTGCAATGCTAACTTCGCCGTGGAAAGTCGGGTTTATAATGCTTTCCTAAGCGCGTAGTCTGTCTAGATTTGGCCTCTCTGAGGATTAGGATTTGCGGCAACTCTGTCTATTCGATCATCGTTACATCTATCTGGTGACATCATCATCATCATATAAGTAATTCTCAGTTCCTACGCTGTCTGCTGGAGCACGGTGGAGATCATCTTTCGATAATAGGCGTTTTCATCTTCGAATGTTATTTCGTCATCTCAGTATGCCCAATGTTAGCTGATATAGGGCCAGGCTGGAAAAGAGCTAGCGGCGGTCAAACGAAAACTTGGCACCAGTCAATGAAATCCACAACAGTTAGTCTAAGTCACGTAGGGAGATGTAGACTTCCTGGTTGGGGTCCTCGGGATGGTAAAAACCAATGGTTGGAAACAATTGGTGACATGGCTCAAAATCGTTCTCAGTGGCGCAGATGCACCCACTCCTTGTGACTTATGATTTCCAATGAAACTGTTTTGTTCTTCGTTATTACTACTCCTTTGTCTCACACCTCTGTTTACTGTTTCTCTATTATGCATTTCCCCTACTTTCTTCTCTTCCTTTGTGTGCTACATGGAGTGTGGCGACTTGAACTGCCGCACATCAGTGCAAAGTTCTATGTCGAAAACAGACAGACAGACGTCATCTCAGTGGTGCTTTATTCTGTTCTCTGTTTGCTAACCCTGAAAACTCCACCTGGGTTCGAACCCGTTGTGGTGGGTGCATACTGATGAAGAGGAGTCCCAAACTAGCCTGACGAAACAGCTGTCCACTACTCCCAGTCGGTTTTCCAATGCTTCTCTAACCAATGTCAGCTCATGATGAAATCCTGTAACCAACCCTGAAATAATTGGTAAAACGCGAGCGGGAACACTATCCAGCATGGTTACCAAAGGGAGAATGCAAAGGGGTAAACAGTTCGAAAAAAGAACATCTGGTGATTTCTGGCTATTCAGCCCCATTTGAAAATTCCTTCTCAGCCATATACAAGCTTCCATCAAACCTACCAAAGGGAGTGAAATCAAGACATCTAGGAATAGGCTGAAACACTGGTGATCCAAAAATTCAAGCCTACTACTCTATGTGTCCAAAAGAAATATGTTCAACCGTTGTCCCTACCGTGGCCATCATAAAAAGTCAGTCTTACCATTAATGATGATCCTATTACCTTTCTTTCGTCCAACCTTCCCGTTTATTTCTGTTATGTTTACCTTTTTATTAAATCCCCCTCTATCTGCATTAGATTAGATTTGATTACTGTTTTTTTAAATCTTTATATGTCCGAACTTCCCACCGATTTCGTTGATACTACAAACTAACGAGCTTTCCAGTAATTATAATAATCCTATTTTGTCTTTTCTACCCGATCTTCCTCATTTATTACACATTGGAATTTTTAATTTGACCTTTGACCTGAAATATTTCTAGCATAGTACCACTACTACCTACCTATCTTCTGTTTATTACACTTAGTAATTTGGATCGGGTCCCAGTGAGTGGCTTAATGCTCTACGAGCTCGCTAGTCTTGTAACCAGAAGGTCCTGTGTTGTTCGAAACCTGGTGGTGGGTGTGTACTGCTGAAGAGTCCCAAACTAGGCTGACGAAACAGCTGTCTGGCAGTACTCCTTGCAGGTTTACCAATGGCTTTCTCTAACTAATGTCAGCTCATGATAAAATCCTGTAACTTGATAATTTTATTAATCTGACCTCTGACCGAAAATAATTCTGGAACTTTTTCACACATTTAATAGAAATACACGAATGTACAGCTGCCTAGTTGATGGTGACTTCGTCGAAAAGAAAATTTTTTTCCTCGCTGCAACCGTTTCTTAAATTGAATATTAGATTTTCCCGTCGATTGATTGGACCGAAGTCTCAGGTTGACATGTCCGTTGGCTTATTGTGCAGATACTTCAACGATGTTTGGGCATTCAATTATAATTTAATTTATGGATGGTGACTAGCAGTGGAATCCAGTTCAGGATATCGCGCATTTCACCGGCCCTATTTGAAACTCGTCAGTTGGCTGGAGGATGTACCTGCATTTCCCAGTGAGTGATGATGACCCGTGTTGCACAAGAGACTGTGGCTCTCGTGGCCCAAGTGGTCTAGTGGATAACGCTTTGACTACTGGTGTTTGAAACTATGGCACTGGGTTCGAGCCTCCGTTGTGGGAACATCATCACTGACTCACTGACTGGGGAATGCAGGTACATCCTCCAGCCAACTGACGAGTCAGTCCCAAATAGGACCGGTGAAATGCGCGTTATCCTGGACTGGATTCCACTGCTAGTCACCATCCACCAATTAAATTCTAATTAAATGCCCAGACATCGTCGAAGCATCTGCACACATTACTGTGTAATCCGCCTTTCTACTTTCTACTGTATCGCATTTATTAAATTACTTTTTATCACTAAAAATTTTACAGACGTCTCAGAGATCTTGCCGACAAACTTCGTGAAACTGGTGGTCGGATAGCTGTTATCGGTGGTGGTTTCCTTGGCAGTGAATTATCTGTGAGTTTATTGAAACAACCGGCAAAGTCAACAGATGCCAGTACAGCAACAACAACAACAACGCCGACGAAGGATTCCCCAGATCCAATACAATCAAAATTGTCTGTTATACATGCATTCCGTGAAACAGTCCCTATGAGCAGTGTGCTACCACCGTGTCTGGCTTCAGCTGTCGGACGTTTTGAATCAAGTAAAGGCGTGGAGTTGTGGAGTTCTTCAGATGTTGTCGGCTTGTCACTTGTACCCGAAAACAAAACACATACTACTACTACACAAGCTACTGTCAAAGAACAGGCTAAATTTGTCCCTATGGGAACAGTTGCCGCCAGTACAAGTAATTCTGAACGTGTTCGTTTGCGTGTTCGTCGTAGCGTATCAGGAATTGAAAGAGTCGAAGAAGTCGATGTTGATCATGTTGTTTGTGTTGTAAGTACTTTTTTTAATCCTTTTTGTTTTAATTTTTTGTAAATAAATAAATAAATATTATTATTGTTTCCTTTAATTCCTAGAGGAACATAGGGCTTCAGCCGCTGACGTCTCCATTGCGTTCGGTTCTCTGCTAAAGTTTTCACCTGGCTCCAACCAAGTCTGTCTACATGCTTTCATCATCTCCTCTTCACATGACCTCCTCCAAGTCACCCTTTCGAGTTTCACTGGAGCAATGGCTTGTCTAGTGATGTCACTCACCTGATAGTTTGTTTTCTCAGAGTATGGCCAATCCATCTCCATTTCTTCCTGCCTATTTGCTGCACAATCGGTTCCTGCTGGTTTGGTTAGTTCGCTCATTGCATGAGATCCCACCCTGTTGCTGATCTTTTCTGGCCTTCTGATCTTGAGCAGTGTTGAGCGAAAACAACTAGCTGTTGATGACGGTCTGTAGTTTATTTGAGGTGCTCCTTTTATGACGCGCTGGTCAAGTCTCTGATCCATATAGCAGGTAGCACTGACTAACTTCACATTGGAGTTGAAAATCCCGATCTTATTTTCATTTTCATGCTGAGTAGTGCTGAGTGTTGACCTCCACACAGACTTGAGAGTAGTGTGAGCTTGTCTTGCTTTTCCGATCCTCGCTGCTTTGATATCCTCGTCAGTAGTGTCCGCCCGTAGTTGAAACGATGCTTCCCAGGTAGGTAAGTAGGTGAAGGAGGTTGTTTCTTTCAGGTTCCTCCCATTTATGCTGGCTGATTGTTGTCTGTTGTGGTTGTTGCTGTTGTTGTTCTTGTCCAGGAATCTTCATTACCTCTGTTTTCTCTATGTTCACCTGAAGTCCTATCTTTGATGCTTCTTCTGTCGACTTGTTGCTTTTCACTTGCATATCTTCCAGTTTGTGGGAAATCAGACATATATCATCGACGAAGTCTAGATCCTCCAAGTTGTTTTTGTGTGGGTCCATTTTATGCCTGTTTCCTCGCTGCCCAGCCCGCTGTTTGTCGCATTATCCAATCTACTGCAATCAAAAAAATCATTGGTGATAGTAGGTAGCCAGCCAGCTTGTCTTACTCCTATTTTTACTTCGAAGGATTCCGTAAGTTTCCAGTTGTGGATTACTTGGCATGCAGTCATTCGGTGGATGGTGACTAGCAGTTGAATCCAGGATAACGCGCATTTCGTCCTATTTTGGGATTCGGCATCTGCATTTCGCCACTTAGTGTGGGACCTCTGGGAGCGAACCAACCAGGAACCAATTGTGAAACCAATAGGCAGGAAGAAATGGAGATAAGTGGATTGGCCATACTCTGAAGAAACCATCAAGTGACATCACTAGACAGGCCATTGCTCGAGTGGAACCCGAAAAGGAAGCGGCGAGTTGGTCGTCAGTGCGAGGGTGACTTGGAGGAGGTCATGTGAAGATGAGATGAAAACATGTGGGCAGACTTGGAGCCAGGTGAAAACGTTAGCAGAGAAGCGAATGCAATGGAGACGTTCGCGGCTGAAGCCCTATGTTTCTCTAGGAATTAAAGGAAACAATAATAATATACAATCAGTTTATGCATGTCATTTCTTTGTAAAGTTTGCGTAGAATCACTATCAAAGATTCATGATTCAGTAGAATTCCCTTGGATGACAAATACTGTCCATTGTCATCTTGAATAGCTCAACTGTTATCAATTTGTCAGGATGTTACAACACTATTGAGGTTGACCTTTCCTAGGCATTCGCTTCGCAAGAGCGGAAAGACAATACAACTAACCTACTGGTAGTCGATGAGAGAGAAACACCTCACCGCTGTCACACTCATATTCTCTGTCAAACCACTCCGCTCCATCAACATATTTTGAACCAATTACACTAAGATGGTGACTGTCTTTGTGGCATGGTAAGACCTGTAGGGAAATTCGTCTCAGCCATTGTGGCTGCTAACCCCCAGCCACCACATTAAGGTAGCACCTATCAGTCGCGATCATTGTCCATATATATATATATATATATATATATATATATATATATATAAATGTGTGTTTATATACATAGAATATTCTAAATTAGTAGTCAATAACAATATTAGTTTGTGCTTTTTAAATAATATCGATTTGTAAAGTATGATCACAATCGAATCACCACAGTTCATTAAAGATGCTTAAATTATAATAATAATAATAACAAAGATATAGTAGCAAATAGAATATCAACTACAATTAGGAAAATTCCACAAAAATTCAGGATCGATCATTCAAACCTAGATGACCAAGCGGGTAAGGATAATGTCTGAACCAACCAACATCTTTTGCATGCACAAATTAGTCTTGTTAATCTGGATCCCAACGGCCAGCCAGCCAGCCTCAGCAATATTTAGTAGTCGAACCCGTAAGGCGAAATTGAGATTTGTTGGGATGCGGTAAATGACCCTGAAAGCCACCTTGTTAACATCAATCAGTCTTGTGTTGTGTATCCACAAGATGAGTGAGATAGAATAGCGCTGTGAACAGATAGATTTTGTTTGTCCTTTGCTTAACCAACCAACCACTGTGCAGGTTGGGTGATGTTGGGAAATGCGACGCCTAATTGTGTATGGCCTATGCGAGTAACTGGCTCACTCGACAGGCGCAGTTAAATTGGTAGATACACACATACATGGAAGAGGCGAAATCAGTCAGTTTGTCTTTTACTCCCGGACGCAAAAGAGAAGTGGCTTTGTAAGGCACAGCCACTATATCTTTGTTATTATTATAATTTAAGCATCTTTAATGAACTGTGGTAATTCCATTGTGATCTTACTTTACAAATCGATATTATTTAAAAAGCACACACTAATATTGTTATTGACTACTAATCTAGAATATTCTATGTATATAAACATGCATATATAGATATAATTGTAGAGCGAGAAGAGGAGGAATTTATCGAAAAGGATATTGTTTGCTGGCTCAATTATATTTTGTGTTTTATAGATAGATTGATGTCTGAATGAATATTTTTTTGCTTATTATTTGTAGATCGGCATCGATCCAAATACAGACCTCTCTTCAGAGGCAGGTCTAGAAGTAGATCCAAATAATGGAGGATTTCTAGTCAATGCAGAACTAGAAGCCAGACAAGGTGTTTACGTCGCCGGTGATGCTGCCTCCTATTGGGATCCAATTGTTGGTTGTCGCCGCCGCGTTGAACATCTCAATTTTGCTGAAGAAGCTGGATCGCTGGCTGGTAAAAATATGGCTGCCTCTTTGTTAACATCTGGAACTGCATGTAGAACTGCATCGTCATCGCATTATCAGCATCAGTCGTCTCTATGGTCTACTCTTGGCCCTGAATTGTCCTGGGATGCAGTTGGCCTGATCGATTCACGTCTACTATTAACACGTGGATTTTTCGCCTCCCCCGAAGATGACAATAATATAATGATACTTCTACTGATAAAACAACTTCTACACCTCGACCTTTATCAAGTCTTGTTCCTGACGCTAATCTTGGACGACTCACCAAGGGCGTAGTCTTTTATTTAACACCAAAAGAAAAACGTTTGGTTGGCATCCTCCTGTGGAATATGCCAGATGAAGTCTATTCGGATAAAGATTATCCCGGACCGAGTCGTTTGAATCTAGCCCGGAGTATACTTGCTGAACGTCATATAATTGGCGGTAATGGTAAGGATTCCTCTAAAGAGGATTTAGAGAAAGAGAAAACTGATCTATGCGAATTAGCCAGTCGATTTGATATCTATGGTGAGATAGCGGAGGAATATTCGCAATTACAAGAGTACATTAAGAGGAAAGGCTTAGATATGGCTAAAGTAAATGAAAATGATAATCATAATAACAATGATAATAATAATAAAGGTGAAAGCGTTGACAATAAGGATAGTGATATTAGTCAACCTTAATAATAAACAATAATCCTTCAGATGGCCATTTACAGAAACAGAGACAAAAAAAGGAAAGACTTCACTAACGAAAAAAACAGCCTAGTGTTATTATTTTTTGTCTTGTTTTGATAATTTCTCTGTCTCTAAATCTGTGCTGTACAAATATTCAATATTTTGTAAAGTTTCACCCCATTTTTGCATACAACAATGGATCAAATATAGATAGTGATTAGAAAATACACATATATTTTATTTGTCTTCTTTTTCATCTTTTTACTACACCTGTTCCTCCCTCATCCTTTGGAGTGTTTGGTTTGTTCGTCTGCCTGTTTGTTTGATATAACTCTGAAATTCCATTGTGGATAAGATTTTCCATTTTGATAAACTGTCACACACAGTATGTGTGTAGTGTTATACAGTAAGTAATATTAACTGATGTGACCACACACGCTTCGAGCACAATTTATTATTGCCACTCATAATCATAATATCAAGTCACTCACTCACTCACTCACTCACACAACTTTCGTCTTCCTTCATTTATATACAACATGAGTGGAATTGATGATTAGACATTTGAATACAAATCAGTAATATGGGATAATGTACATTCAGAAAGAATAATCATAATAATAATTTGAGTGTTATTCATCAATTAAAATCAGATGGGAAGGGAAATAAGACAAGTGTTTCTCCTGTAGTCATAATAAGTGAGTAACTTGTTAGAATGTTGTGATGATGCACGTGAATTGAATTGAAATAGAATACAAGTTAAGATTATTTATTATCCTCCTCTGATTTCACTGACTGACTGGTGGTAATAATATGTTCCATACATGTCTCTGGTATTTGCATTCAGTCATTTCTGTTGCATGGGTTGTGTTGGATGTAGACTTGATGAACAAGGCGGGATTCAGTAATCAACCCCTCTCTCTCTGTTTCCACCTACATAGATTACTTCTTAGAATTTCAACCCGCTCCCACCATGCTATTGTGTGGTTGTGTGTTAATGCATGCATGTAGTGCAATGTAGTGCTGAGATTTTTTCTAAATTACTTATCTTCTCGGGTGAGGTCAGCCATTCTTACCTTAGCTAAATTCTTGTGTTCGGACAATCTGATTACCCTCGACGTACTAGTTTGACCTATGTACGTGGTTGACCTGACTCACAGTCATTGCAAGGTATTTTGTAAATTATATTATTTTGTCTTATTGTGTCAACCTGTGGGGTCCTTTAACCTACAGAGCTTGTCCTATCTGAGTGAGTTTGTAGGTTTGAATGCCACCATGCTAATTCCTGCTTTGTTATTAAGAATCTTACTTAGGGAGTGTCTAAGATGTCGCTTCTTTATATGGTATAACAGTAGATGACTTATGTTCTCTTATTTATGTTATTACTGTATAACACTGTGTGACAGTTTATCAAAATAAAATCTTATCCATAATGGAGCAATATGACTTGGATACGCGCATTACACATACCAAGCTGATGCCTTCGTCGTCGACGTAGGATTGATTTGGTTAGACGAGAAGTGTAATTCGATTAGAATGTGTCATATCAGTCCCTGAAGTCTTGGACTGTTGGTTGGTGGGTTTAAGCCTTGTTGTGAGGGGTACAGACTGCATGAATGAGGTCCTTGAGATGATAAGAATAAATGGTTGGAGACTGTTGGTAGCATCTATCGAAATCCTTCACAATGGTACAAATGTATTCAATTTCTTTGAACTGGCAGATCCATTTATTTCTCGGGAATTCTCAGCATTATATATTAAATTATCTATATTATATGACTATTATTCTGTTTACTTAAAGTTATTTTCTTTCCTTCTTCAACCTCTTGGACTATTCATGATGTAGAAAAAATCCCCATTTAGACATTTACAAAGCAGAAAGATTGAGCAGCGAAGAAATATTTACTTTTCAATTAGATCCTCATCTCTGGCTCTACTCTAGCATATATTCTGTATAGAATTTTTATTACTATACACAACAGTTTACCAATCATCAAGTGGCACTGATAGGCTTGTTAACAATAATTAGTCAGTCAGTGTCAAAATGTCAATGGGTTGATAATTAACTAAGAAAATCAATACACTCAATTAAAAGGTAGAAATGGTTGGAATAAATTAATTTCACAAGAATAACACGTAATTGAAGATGAAGTGGTCAAAATAAATAAAAATAAAATAATTTGGACAATTATAAATTTTAAAGGTTTAGGGGGAGGGGAGCGACGTAGTCCTGTTTATGTATTCTTTTAGAGCGGGCCACGGTAAGGAAAGTGGCTGTACAAATTTCTTCTGAATACACACACAGGTTTGGCTTCTTCTTCAGGTGGATTCCTATTGCTTCACCTGTCTGCAGAAGACGAACTCGTCGGAATGCGATAAATAATTTTAAATGCAGTATTAACATCAACCTTATGCTCACTATTTTTATTTATTTTATTTTTTTTTAATTTATTTTGATTACAGCTTGATTCCACACAGTATTTTCAGTACAAGTATGGAATTTTCAGCATGGATATCAGTAGCCCAAATTTGCAGGCCGACCATAGATATCGGGTGTGCGTCGGTAGGGGATCGAACCCCGGACCATGTGCATGGTCGGCGAGAGTCCTAACCACTGTGCCACCGACGCACAAGGTGTGCTGAAATAGAGCTACGGATAGATCTTGTTTGTCCCTTGCTGCTTAACCGTGCTGGCTACATCTTTTTGTGAACCCTTGGAGAGAGAGAGTGCGTGCGTTACTGGACAGTTGATTTTGTCTTAGTTTGACACTTCTTAGCAATATGCGTGACTCTACCAGAGCAGCTTGGAGTCTAGTGCAATTCCTTCACGTTGAATTCTAAGGCCTTGCTAATTGTTGACATGTTAGCGAGCACAACCGCTATCCTCCTATGTTGTCAACGTGTATTCATCTTATCTGTCATGGCTGGCGGTTCCCCACTGGAACACAAAGATATGCGTTGTGTGGTGTCTGCAATTGCTGAAATTCGTAGACAGTAATTTACGTCAATGTTGTTTATGTCCCAAATATTGGTCATGAGAAAACAAGAACAAAAACTGACTGACTCAACAACCAATCACAGCAGATTTTGTTTGCGTGGGCGGATACGATTAGCAGACGGATAGATGATCTGACCTTCAAGAAACAGTCACAAAGAGAAAAAACCACCAATCAGAAGACTGTGTTTGTCTGCTAACAATAATCGATAATAATGTACATGAAAATCTATAAATAAATATGTGTTGATTTCGTGAATAAGCGATCTGTTTTGCTGGCCCTTGTCTTCTGTTGTTACAGTTGTTATACAGGATTCATAGTGCATAGGGCAGTTAACATCCATCAATCATAATGTCTACGTTAATTTATAAATCTAAGTGATACAATAAGCTCTAAAAGAATGTGGAGATGGGGGTTATTTTGCCATGGGAACCTGTAAATGCAGAGTTGGTTTATGGGGAATCATCCCTATGTGATAATTTCTTTTTTTCAAGTCGTTATGCAATGACTGATTTAATTAGCGGGTAGTGTGACTCTTTACTAATTATACGTCTTTTTTTAATGAAAACAAAACACACGTAGTGTTCAGTGAAGAGTCTCTTTTCGCCGGTGAATTCATTTTCTTAGCTGTACAATCGCATATATATATATATAGGTCTATTATTGAGTAATAGGGCGGGGGTGACATAATTGATATAATTACCCAGAAGTGGCTTTAGAAGTTAAAAATTAAAAGTTGAAAATTACGTAGTACTCAACAGCACAAAGATAGAAATTCGATCAGGAAGGTTAAAATTGCTATTGAGTGAGAGAGAATAAAGGTGGTAGTTGAGTGTCAATTTGACAAATGGGGAAGAGGGTGTGAAAATGTACATCAGGGAGCATATGAGAGTGATAATAGTGTGAATTAATTATTAAAAGTGAAAGCAAACTGAAAGTTAAATTAAAATGAAAAAATCAAAGATTGAAAATTTTAAAACAGAAAAAAATCAAAATTTTTTTAAACTTTTGAAATACCAGTTTGAATTATTCTACCATTTACTGTCTTACTACTTATAAGTAGGCAGCGCCAATTCGCTAATATTTCAGCATTTCAGAATTTGATCCAAGTCAATTTTGGATAAGATTTTCCATTTTGATAAACTGTCACTCACAGTGTGTGTGTGTAGTGTTATACAGTGAGTAATATTAACTGATACGACCACATGATTCGAGCACAATTCATTATTACCACTCATAATCATCATATCAAGTCAGTCAGTCACTCACTCACTTGCACAACTTTCGTCTTCCTTCATTTATATACATGAGTGGAATTCATGATTAGACATTTGAATACAAATCAGTAATATGGGATAATGTACATTCAGAAATAATAATGGTAATAATAATATGAGTGTTATTGATCAATTACAACAATCAGATGGGAAATAAGACGAGTGTTTTTGAAAGGAAATTAAAAAATAATTGTGAAACTAGTAATGATAACATAAATAAGATAGAATATAAGTCATCTACTGTTATACCATATAAAGAGGGATGGGACATCTGTGACACTCCCTACGTAGGATTCTTAATAACAAAGCAGGAATTAGAGTGGTGGTGGCATTCAAACCTACAAACTCACTCAGAGGGCGCAAGCTGTGTTGGGTAAAGGACCCTGTCGGTTGACCCAATTAGACAAAGTAATATCATTTACAAAATACCCTGCAATCACTGTGAGTCAGGTTAACCAGCTACATAGGTCAAACTAATAGGTCAAGAGTAATCAGATTGTTGGAACATAAGAATTTAGTGGCTAAGGCAAGAATGGTTGACCCCACCTGAGAAGATAAATAATTTAGAAGACAGCTCAGCACTACATTGCACTGCATGCATGCATTGACACACAACGGCACAATAGGGTGGGAAGGAGAGGGCTAAGATTCTAAAAAGTAATCTAGGTAGGTGGAGAGAGAGATCGATTACTGAATCCTGGCTGGTTAATCGAATCTACACCCAACACATGCAATAGGAATGATTCATCACTCATACAGGAAATATGGAGAATACTACTACCAAGCAAGTCAAGCGATGAAAAATAGTGATGGAATTATAGAAACGAAGTTAGAAAGTTGTGTGAGTGGTGCCTTGATATGATTATGAGTGGCAGAAATAAATTGTGCTCGAAACTTGGTCATCAGTAAATATGTAACACTGTATAACAACACTGTGAGACTTTATCAAAACAAAATTTTAC